TGATGGCGCAATTTGTTCTAAAAATAGAATTATTGTCCCATATCATGGGGACAACCCCAATACTTGAATGGCGCGCGCTTACGGTCTCCGTCCCCGATTATGGCTCCTGATAAAACTAAGCATAAGACCACAAGTACGCATTGCGGACCTATTTTTTAGTCTAGACATGTTGAGCCAATGCTAAAATGTGATAGTTTTAAGTTGTAAAAATCTTTAATATCAGTAAATTAATTCTTTACCGTCAGATCTCTCGCAAACATAAGCATGGTTTTCGCTGCAGGTTTCAATTTCCAGAAATGTGCCGCTAGTGACCAAGAAGCAGTAAACTTTAATGGGGCCAGTCTCTACTAGATTCCTGGCATCGTCTACATGTACGATATTGTACATCTTCGGTTTTGCTGCAAATGGCACTCCAGTATCACTCCATCTCCACTGCACTTTTCCAGGCACTTTGTCATAACTAGAAAGATTAAACTTCTTTAACAAAATAATATTTATATTGACATAAACTGAGTGTAGTAATTAAAGTGATTCCTCAATATTGCATTGCGCATTCCTACTGCGCACGATTTTCATGCCATTAGCGCGCGCACATGGGCGCGTAAGGTTGGTAAAGTCTGCACACGAACCAAGTGGCCCACCAGGCCGAAGCTTATCCCGGTTTCTGTAGCATGAAGCGACTGGGAGTATTTCTACTCCCCCCTGGATGGGATGCTAGTCCATCGCAGTGCTACCCCTAGCATTAAGTTCGACGGTACCCATTTATACACCTGGGTGGAGAGAAGCACTGTAAAAGTAAAGTGTCTTGCCCAAGAACATAACACAATGTCCCCGGCCAGGGCTTGAGCCCGGACCGCTTGATCCGGAGACGAGCGCACTAAGAATGAGGCCACCGCGCCTCCGACACATGGGCGCGTGCACGTACATAATGTAAGAGATTTCCCACAAGCTAAGCTCGACAGCGAAATAAATGCCCGTTTTCTCTCAAACGAGCATGGTGACCTATATGTTTTACTACATAAATCTGGGGTAAATATTATCCTCTTTAAGTTAAAAGAATTAATTGTTCAGAAGGAAAAAAAAAAAGGTATAGCTAAAAGAGCGCACAAAACCATTACTCAAGGATGCAAATTATGACCCTGAAAACAACGATTGGAGGAACATTTTGAATTAGTGTCATTTAGAATTGTGTGATTTTTCCATAGATTATATATTACCTTGTTCCAAGTGCCCGAGACTTTCTGCTTACCAAGATTTTTTTCAAGTATTGCTTTAATAACTTTGTTTCCAGCTACCGCAAAAATTTATGGTGAACTGATGAAGTAATTCACGTAATTAGGCATAAGTGGGGTAAGATTGGCCTGTTATATCTCTTTAATGAGCATGGTAACTTATCATTTTTATTGCATTTCTTGAAACAGTGCCTAGTAGGGAACATTCATGGAAAGTTTCAAAAACATTGTTCGGCAACTTTTATTTCAGAGGAATCACCTTAACGGTAACAGTGGAAACGTATTACTTACAACACCTGTAGAGCAGTCCAGTACTTCTCTAAATTACTATAACCAGAAGCAGTTTTCGCCTGAGTTAGTTCATCCAGCTCGTTTATCTTTGCCAGATGCTTGTAATTATATCCTTGACATGCTACATGAGCTTCACTGTAACTTTTTGAGTCTGAAAAGGTTTGGTACTCCACACTGCTTGATAGACCTGCATGAGGAATGTTTGACAACGCATGCGCTCAACATTACAACATCTACTCAACCATGTTACAATTGATGCTATAAAGATTGGCGTGTATTTAATTCAAGTAGAGATGCAATTAAATGACTTTACTTGGACTTATCATGCGAACAAACATTCCGCGATTTCCCCTATTGTTTGCGTTATTAATGATAGATATCTACCTGCCAGAGGGATCTCATTGAGACCTACCTAATTTGACTAACAATAGACGGATCGAAACTTACATATGTAGAAGAACCAACCAACGACTGTTAAACAGACCGTTTCAATGGACTGGAATTAAAACACCACGACTGACAAACACGGTGCACTTGACTCTGAAAATAATTTCCGCTCAGGTTGTCGAAACGTCAGTCACCAGCAACAGTTCTTTTCAAAACTTCCCTCGCTAGAAGATTAAACTATACGAATTGCTTTTTTCATGAACACTTGAATCTGCAGTTTTACTTTGGCAAAACACGAATAATAATAATAAAAAAATTCATTCCTTTTATTGCTTTACCATCGGAGACTCGGACCCAGGGGCTGTTAATTAGGGCTGGAGGAAGTAAACACCGCAAAAATTGAAGCGCAAGAGTTACTGTAAATTTTCTTTGCGTCCATTTTTGCGGGTTTATCTCGTCCCAACTAAAGTCACTGCCCCTAGGTTTCAGAGGCTGATTTGTTTATACTTTTCAACCTTTGGTTTAGTGAAAGGCCCATTTTAATCAGTCTACATCAACAAGCTACCAGTTCGCCTGAAATGGACTCACTTATGTTACCCTCTCCGATGAAGTCTACTACTACTACTATTCTGAAAATTTAGTGTTTTCCACTATTTTTTGCAACATAAAGGAATACAAGCGTAAAAAACCCAACCAAGTAAATAATCATAGCGATTACTACCAGTGAAATATTTTAAAACTGAAGGAAAATGCGCTGTGTTTAGGCTTGTAAAGAATTAATTATTTTCATACACACCGTATAAAAATACCAAGATAGCTCCAACAATCAGCAGGTGGGTGAAAAAAGTCTCCTTCATTGTGATTCTGAAACAAAGCAATAAATGTGGAAATAAGAAAGAAAACCAATTTTCATGGATGAGATGGGTCACGCCATGAATCTTTACCTGATGGACGCCTGCCTTTGGGCATGTTTAAAAACGAATACGTTCTTCTAAATGGCAATACCAAAATTGTCGTACGTGAGAAAACTGCATCAGTTACTAGTGCAAACAATTCCTCTAAAATAAAGCTGAGAGGAAATAATTAAAAATGCGGCTTTAGAGTTTTCAGAGTAGATCCCCTGTTACACCTTGTCACTTTGGCGTAAGTAATTTAATTCTCGCTAAAGATCTATCGAAAAAGTACAATGAAAGAGACTGACCACAGAGCCACTTCAGTCTCCACTGTCAAACTGAACTTTTTTTCTTTTTTTTTTCGTTTATATCATGTAAAATATATGAGTGAAAAAAAAAAAAGAATCATTTTTATTGCATCGTATTTTTTTGTTTGGTTGATGTTAAATGTTTCATTTTCCATCTTGCAATAGGACGACAAAAATAAGAACTTTTCATCTTTTGTTCAAACTATAAACCAGCTCGCAATGATTCTGCTTGAAAACGACCACAGTTTTACTCTTCTTTTGAACAAAATAGCCTACAAATTAGAAGGAAAGTCATCAATACTTTCGTTTTCTGAAATGAAGTGGCAACTCCCAAGCAATTCTAGTTTGCCAGGAAATGAAGTTTTCACGTTATCAGTTTATCTCAAAATTAACAATTTTGAAGAAACAATATTTTTCGGTATATGCAGATGATAATGTCTATTAATTACATCTAGTTCATAACTGTCATCAGATTGTCACTCCGTTGTCGCTTTAATTTAACTAGCAAAAAGTCACGTGATATGAGCACAAAGTCTTTATTATCAGGTTGTAATCGATTTTCGCACCGGATCTTTCGGGAGGAGCTCGTGGTTTTTGCTAACTGGGCAAAAGCACGGAAGCAGGCACCAAATAAGGCGAGAAAAGGCGTGAAAATCTTTCAATTACGATGGCGCCGATGCGTTAGTGACAAAGCAAAGAATCGTATTTTGAACAGGAGAAGCTGCTTACGCAGGTCGATGTAAACGAAATTGAAAATTAAACTACACTACACATTAACAGAGACACACAGCGTTAGCGTTTAGCGTTATCGTTTTTGGTTTGTTTTCACCTGTCCAAAATAATGGGTTTTCGTATGAAAATAAACGCATACTCTCTGATACGTTTTTGCCTATCGCAAGCTCTAAAACGTCCGAAAACGCTGATGCATGGGAAAGACAGTATATGACGCTTTTTTCAGCACCGTTTTTAAAAGCCTCCGTTTTCACCTTCCCACACTAGAAACGGAGCGGTTTTAAAATGATACTATTTCAAAAGGCCCCACTTTTGAAATAGATATAGATATAGATTGCTTGACTTGTGTAGAGAAAATGAAGACAATCCATTTTCCACGAAACTTAGAGTGGTAAGTGCTCACACGGACACGCTGTTAATCCCATTTTTTGCTTCACCCTCGAAGATCCAGGGCCAGTGAACCCTACAAATATCGAAGCGACGAAAGTTATTGTAAAGTTTCGTCGCTTCAATTTTTGCGGCGTTTACTTTCCCCCAACCCAACTAGCTGTCCCTGGGTCTCAGAGGATATTTTTTTGCTTATTCTTTTCAACATTTGGTTCAGTGAAAGGCGTATATTGATTGAGATTAGCCAGCCACCAGCTCGACTAAAATGGACTCATTTATTGTGTGTTCCTACATAAAGGAAAAGAAACGTAATGGCTTGAGAACCACGTAATTTAACACTTACAGATATTGCTGCGAGTGAAATGTTTTAAAAGTAAAGGAAAATGTTCTATGTTAAGGCATAAAAAGGTAAGGAATTAATTATTTCCATACAAACCGTGTAACAATACCAATATAGCACCAATAATAAACAGGAGGTCGATGATTAAAGTCTCCTTTACTGTGATTCTGAAACAAAGCAATAAACGTGGATATATAACAAAAAACAACATTTCCAGCTTAACATTATACTTGAGATGGGTCATGTCATGAATCCGTTCAAATCTGTACCCGACAGACGCTTTCATTTGGTTATGCTTGAAAACGAATACGTTCTTCTTGTAAATGGCAATACCAGAATTGTTGTATGTCAGAAAACTGCATCAGTTGACGACGAATTAATAGGATTCGCAATTTAGTCAATGAAAACAACTTGTCTAAAATAGAGCTGAGAGGAAATTATTAAAAATACGGCTTGACAGCTTTCAGAGTAGATCCCCTGTTATATCTTGTCACCTTGGCTTGATTCAATCCTCAATAAATTCTAAATATCTATCAAAAAATTACAAAAAGCGGAAGACTGACTTAAAAATTTTCGAGTAATTTCCGGATCCACATTCATTCGGCACTTTTCTTCCGATCGACATAATGTAAAATGTATAAGATTGAAAAAACAAACATCAAGCCAAGGCATGATGTTATATATGTGGATAAATTGACCTATAGCAGTCAAAGCACATTTGTTGATCCGATGGTGGTCTGTCATATGACATAACAGCCATTCATGTTGAAGAGTGTTATCCGTCCGGTAGTATAAAAGACTGGTCGCATTTATGCTATGTATTTTCGCTTAACAGTCTTCGGGCGCCTTTTTCGCCCCACCTTTGCTGAAAATGATAATTTAATTATTATGTACATTGTTAACATATGACTTTTATTTGAGTTTCAATTAAAACCGCTACAGTATAAGTGGCCAAGAAATGCCAATTCACGAGTTGATCATTTTGTTGCACATCATATCATCTTCAGCAAACTAGTTCGACCCCACAGAGAGCTTCCGAATTCAGTTCAGCACAATGGTTGATGTTAAAAGTTTCGTTTCCCATCTTGTAATAGGACGGCAAAATAAGGACTTTTGAACTTTTATACAAAAGCAAACAATTGTCAAATACTTGTGAAATGTTCATGGCTAGTCTGACGCGGCGTTTCGTCTCGGCCAAGAGACTCTTCAGAGACCTTTAGAATTCAAAGGCAAACTCGTTGAGCATCACGCCCAAAGTTCCGTTCGCAAATTCTTGATGTTGACAGTCTGGCCCTCTATCGCAGAAGGAT